CGAAAGATCGATGTTACTAGGATGCGGTGGAGATTTGAAGAGCTTAGGAGCGTCCGAGATAGAAAATGAGGTAGATGACAAAGTGTCCACTTCCGTGGTGGGATGCGTAAGGGCGACAACAGGATGAGAAGCTGAGGATGAAGGAGGAGGACACGAGAGAACGTTGGGAAACACAGATGTTTTACAGGAAGTGTCAGCCGATAAAGAGGTATCCATGGGCTCGTCATTAGTGTCAGAAGTGTGGCTGACCACCGAGGTCGTGGCATTATTCGAGGAACTGTCGATTGTTAAGGCCGCTACGCGACCGGGTGATGGTACCGAGTTAAAAATTGGATCAGACGGCGAGATCGAAGAAGAAGTAACAACTGATGTTGCGCTGTTATCAAATTTGTGGCAAGTATCGGCCGCGACCCGACCAGGAGAAGAAGGAGTAACAACTGATGTTGTGTTGCTATCAAATTTGTGGCAAGTATCGGCCGCGACCCGGCCAGGAGAAGAAGGAGTAACAACTGATGTTGCGGTTATCAAATCTGTGGCAAGAATCGGCCGCGACCCGACCAGTAGAAGAAGGAGTAACAACTGATGTTGCGTTGCTATCAAATTTGTGGCAAGTATCGGCTGCAACCCGGCCAGGAGAAGAAGGAGTAACAACTGATGTTGCGTTGTTATCAAATTTGTGGCAAGTATCGGCCGCGACCCGACCAGTAGAAGAAGGAGTAACAACTGATGTTGCGTTGCTATCAAATTTGTGGCAAGTATCGGCCGCGACCCGGCCAGGAGAAGAAGAAAGAGAAGTTGAGTCGAGCTCAAGAAAAGGGAGAGATAAGATCGGAGCAGATACAGAGACAGGCTCCGAAATCGAGGATGCAACGTGAAATTGCGATGTGGAGTCTGAATCGGCCGTGACCCGGCCAAGAAAAACACATACTTTAGAGGATTTCCCTGTTTCCGGAGGTTGCTCCTCCTGAGGTGGGTCCGCCATAGCACAGACGCTAGCTCAAAATGACG